TTTCAGCACAGTGTCACATGACAGAGGAGACCGAAGCTCCACCCGCTTTATAAAGTCCACCAGCTGACCTGAGGTAAAGCACAAGACAATGATACTTAAACAACATAGCAGTTCTAATGTTATGACTAATTAAAGAGACAGGCTTTTGCTGCAAAACTGCCAGACATGCAACAGGAAGCAGAGTAGGAAATAGGGCAGTAGACGAGGGTCTGTTTTCCAAAGAGGTTACACGTAAATGGTGCTGACGACTCGTATTTCTAGTCCAGTCTTACTGTGCAATGTGTGACTAAGTGACAAGTGACTTAACACTAACTGAAAGGTTTCTAGTAAGAAAAAGGAAGGAAGCGCAAGTAATGTTTACCTTTACACAACTCTGTGAGGATCAGGAACTCAGCCTGTCCAGTGTCCGACTCTTCTTTGCTGATTGAAGCAGCAGAGCAGAACTGCACCATGTTTGGGTGGCCAGACAGTTTTTTCTATAAAACAAATAGTCAGGGTCAAACACACACATAATAGTGCGTAATATCATGTTTAAACCATTATAGAGAATCAACCCTTTGCTATGATATGACAGTAAACACAACTATAAAGGAAAGTTTGTATACTAAACTCTCCTAAGTGATGTTTAGGTGTGAATCTGTGGCTTTGTCAGTAAACTATGACAACTCTGTTAATGACCGTTTATATAGCTGCAGTTGGCACTAAGCTTTTATTATCATTTATAGCAACTTCAACTTAATAACTAGTACTACAATCTCACCATAAAGCAAACTTCTTGAATGATTTCTTTATTCTTCTCCTCTTCATTGGACAACAACCTCTGAAAAAAGCCAAAAGAGTGGATGCGTACACCATTAAAAAAACAAAGTAAAAGTAAAAGGCAGATGAGAGATTACAAGTATTACAAGTACACAAGCACAAGCAATTCACTATTTTTCATGGCTTTGGTTCATTTACCTTAAGGGCATAGTCTTTTCCACTGGCCAAGTCTTGGGCTTCATACACAAAGGCAAATCCTCCTGTGTGGAGAAGCAGAAATATGCTAAAAGGAGCCTGTAACTTAAAGAACCACACAAAACATGAATGGGCTGTAAATTTAACTACAAAACATCTAAATCACCTTATACTCAAGCTGTTAACCAAAAAACAATATATATTAATCAGAACAGTATAGAACCAGAAGGTAATATGAAAGAAAGAAAACAATGTCATCTTAAAAATATAAATATTAATATCATAACACAGCCCTTGTTTGAAAGATTAGAAAGCAAGTCTGTTATTTTTATTGAATTCTGCTTAATCAGCAATTTTGCATCCTCTTTTAATAGAGATACACTAGACAATGATATATATTTAGAATATTTGCATGTTTCCAAAACAATAGTTGCAATATTATTCAGAGTCCTATAAATGTATCTCCCACATAAATTTAAGAATTCTTCCTCGTTAGAAAAGGTTTGTCATTTCAAATCGGGTTAATGCACAAGACTACGGGTCTACTTAAAGACCAATGACCACATACAAGAGGCTACGTGAACTACAGTAGTAAACAGCAAGCGGCCACGCAGGAGAAACCTGAGCTTAAACATCTTGCTTAAGAAAGCCACAACAAAAGAAGAGTCTATAGTTCCACCCTCTTTATTTGACCACTTTTGATTAAAGGCATTGAATAGTTTAGAGTAACAGCATACCACGTTTTCAACAAATAGATCAGTACAGATAGGTAACAATTTTGCTAACTAGGTCCTTGAAGGGCCCTTGAAGCACTTTCACAAAGGCCAGACAACCAGGTAAAGACTGCCATAGTGATCAGTAAATCAACTACTTACCTGGCTACAGTCACACATCCTGAACTCTGAAGCCTGGGAAAGATTATTCTATATGCAATGGAATGTGTAATGCTAAAAATGAGAACATCGTGTCTTACCATGACTTCTTTGTTTTGACAGCTTCAACTTCTTTCTTTCTCTCTTTCTATCTATTTCCATTTAACAATATATGATACCTGTCTGTTGACATATACGTTTAAATCATAAAGAATAGGCGTGTTTGCAGGCTAAAGCAAAACAAACAAAAACAAGAGGATAGACTGTACATTGTGTCCGTACACACTGTAGTAACATATTTCTATTCTCCACCACTCTCCTACAGCACACAACAGTCACTGTACTGGGGAACTACAGAGTATGTGATGTGTGAAGTTAAAACATGAAAGTGACCATTAATAGTGTAAATGAAGAGCTGATAATGTGATCTGATAGTGAGTCATATCATGTGTCTTCTTCATATCAGTGCACACAGATGCAGCTACTGTCACGGCCTATTAGCAGCAAACTAGCATACAGCCTCCAAAAGCCCAAACCGTGCCAACTCGAACCGTATAAAAGCGATCTCACCTTCTGCGATAACCCGCTTTATTCTCAGTTTCATGTCACCGAGCTCAACGATTTGCCCAACGAAGTCATTTTGGTCCCGGCTGGCAGCTCCGGATGAACCGGGCCCGGCTAGAAAATCCAAAGCGGACTGAAAGAGGGACATGTCTGTCTTCTGTCCCGCTTCAGAGCGACACAAGCTGCTCCCAACGACACAGACACACGGTTCAAATCAGAGACAGGCCACGCACGTACTCTTCAAATGATTGGTCAGCTACAGGGGGTTGTATTTAAAAGAAATGATCGTGCTACAGAAAGCCAACATCTTTTTTCTGCAGCTGGGCTGACGAGGCCGCCACCATCACTGAAACTCACTTCCGCAAAGAGCCGCAACGTCACGATCCAGTCACGTGACGAGAATGTACAACAGGTACTTCTGCTCTGCACCTGTTGGCTCTCAAACGTGTCATGTGTTTGTATTTCACAATTAAACTCATAGAAGTCTCTTTCAAAGTGAACGGGTGGAACACAGAATAGCTCAAATAATAGCAGATTTTGGCGTATGAAGATCAGCCTACTGAAGTATTACTACAAGAGAGAACATTATTGTCATTTACAAAAAGAACAACAACTATGTGAAGAAAACATCTATTTCAGACTAATTCTCACCGCGCTAAGACATTGCTGGTTATAGCCATAGACTATATGGTTATGGCTTATTAGTTCAGAGAGCATTCACACCATCTAGTGTCAGACTGCTGCAAGTGAAGTCTGCCCTTGCCCTACACAGCAAATTCAAGAGTGTTAATTCAACTTGTATATTGTTAATTTTAACACTTGTACCATGTCATATGGGGTCCACAATAAAATGAGTTCAAACTACACTTTCCAAAGTGTACAAGGCTCAACACTGGTAAAGTGATGTAACCACACTCATCACAGTTGAATTTGACACCGATTAAGATTTGATTTTTTTACACTATTGTATAGTGAAAAACTAATAACTCTATATTGTTACGTTTTAACACTTTATGAAGTAGAAATAGTGTAGAGCAGGGGTCTCAAACTCAAATCACCTGAGGGCCAAATTAGAAAACGTCTGAGTGAGGCTGGGTCGCATTGAGTATTCGATAAATAGCGGTTGCACGGAAAAAAAAGACAGAGAAAGAACAACACACAACAGATTTTCTTAATCTTTAATAACAGTTCAGAACATGAAAATGTATTCAGAACGAAAGTTTAAACTATTACGTCTACTCTTCTTTTGCCTACTCCTTGCTGGTTGAAACCTGGCTACGCTTCATCTTGCACAGCTGACAGATATTTGGCTTGCAGGAGGAAGCGTATGAGATCCTCAGGATAGATTGAAGATGCTCATCAGTGAGCCTTGACCTGTATTAGGTGCTTTCACACCGACAGTATTTGGTGCGCACCAAATGGTCCATTCGAACCAGAAGTGGTTAGCTCGGTTCGTTTGCGTTGGTGTGAAAGCGTCAATCGGACTCTGACCCGGACCAACTCAAGCGGACCGAGACCTCAAAAAAGAGGTGGTCTCGGTTCGCTTGAATCCGCACCCAAATGACCAACTTTGGTGCGGTTCTTCTGGTGTGAACGCGAACCCGGGTCCAAACCATAGACAGCAGGTCCAAACGAACTATTCGAAATGCATCATGGGAGAAATGCGTCTCCTCTGCCTGAAATGAGCGCTGTACGATTCCAGCGCAGTAACAGATTGTTGTCCAGATGCAGCCGCGATTCATTTTCGAATTATTTACCAACAATGGCCAATACAGAGAATGTAACACACGAAGATCAGAGCAAGTATCAGTGTGCGAACGTGTGGCTCCAGAGTGAGTCAAAATTAGGGGTGTGTACGTCTGTTCAGGACCTGCACAGAGGTCCCGGTGTTCCCCGTGATCATGTAGGAACAGCATTTATTATTTTAGGCTTTAATTAACCCGATAATTTTATGGCAATAGGCAATCGCCCATTCAATTGATTTACCTTTAAAAAATGTCCTGCTTTTAGCCTAGTGTGAGAAATACAGTCGGACTAGATCCAAACCAGAGTCCCGAACCAGCAGGAACAGCTCCGGTTCTGTCCAGACTCAGATGACGTGGAGCGGGGAGTGAAAAGCGTTTTCCCGGGAAGAACCAAATGCGCGGAGGACGGACACCAACTAAACTGGACTCACGTTTCTGTCCGGATGCTTTGCACCACCTCGGAACCAGCCGCGGTTCTTGAACGCGGAGGACCGGAGCAGCCCGCACAGACCTGTAGTCCACAGCGCATTCTAACTTTCCCCGCACAGAACCAGCGGGCAGACGGCGGAACTTACCCGCTCAGACCCAGTCATTGCGCACTGATCTTGCTCGCCACCATCTGGAACCAGCACATGGAGGACAGAGCCTCCGGACATCTGACCAACGCGCTTGTAGGACGACAGAAGACCAAGGACCAGACCACAGCCCCGACCTGAGGAGCTGCGCGCTACGGTGAGCGCTGTTGGCTGCTGCTGTTACCCGAACTCTGGGCTGATGCGGTGAGTTTGTACAAAGTTCTACGTTGCTGTTTTATGAGTTCATGGTAATAAGATGAGGACGGCCCGTGGTATTAACACTGAAGATCAGTATTGGTTACTGGAGGTATCGCTGTTCTACTGGGATACAGAAGCTCGTTAATCAGACCAGTTTTGGTTCGTTTGCCGGTGTGAAAGCGGACCACACTGGAGTGTATTTGCTTTTCGTATGTCAAACATGGATGGAAGACGCTTGTTTTTGCCTCTTACTTTTTGCTAACATGTCGCCAAGCCTCTGGAATAGATCACTGCAGTTTTGTGGTGCTTGCATATTGATGGGACAGCTGTGTTTGCCGCTTAGTGCGTGTGGAATTCGGCGATGCATATGTGGAGCTTGGTCATCATTACGCACCGAGTGTTGAGCAGGTAAACAGACTGTCAGTGTCTTTTTATTTCTTATTAGCCCCTCCAATAAAGGTCCCATACTTTTGAACAGGGGAATTCTGTCAGCGCCTCCTACGCTCTGATACACTGAAAAAAAAAGGTTGCTGGATTTGCGTAAAAAAGTTATGGACAGCGGTTGCACGCAATAAAATTATGTTTAGGCTTTGAAACTTTTTTCGAACCCCTCTACACATATTTTTCTCGGAACATGAACATCACTTTTTCATGTTGATGAAATTTGAACAAATCATGCTGAATATGCATATTTATCTTATGGTACCTTATCATGAAATGTATAAGTATGTATAATGTAATTTAATTGATCTAATTCTGTAAAAGAATACAAAAACAGTCTTTAGTTTTCCACAGTTCTGTATTGTCTTAAACAGAATCAAACACAAAGAGAGCACAGGGACAGAGATACACAGTTTGGAGCTGGACAGTGTGAAGATTTATTCCAGTGAAGACGCTCTGGTCTCTGCCTGTGGACACAGGAATAACACATTCTGATGATCTACACTGTTGTACATGTTTAAATACACTTATAGCACCAGAACAGAATCACAAGAACATTAGAAGTGTATCTGCAGAAACAAAACTCACCATGTGCTGCTTTTCTTCCTCTAAACACAGTAACAGGGAGGGCATCTGGTATAAAGTCTCCTAATGCCACATCACCTTGTACAAGTACGATAACAGTTTCAATAGGAAGTTCATTTTGAAAAATTTTAAAATAATTTTAGTTGGTTTACTTACTTTGTTCATCTGTGGTCTGTGTTTTGTTGGTTCTCAAACATCTTCCTTTTTTCTGAAACATCAACTATAACATTCATGAACTTCCCCACAGCTCCAGCAGAGCTCTGGATGTCACTCTTTGTAGACGACTCTGGAAGCAACACATTCAAATCTTAGTACAAGTGTCACACTCTTGTAGATGGACAGTCAAAAACAATTTGTTTCAAGCTGTCCTTACATTAACTCTAATTTCAAATAAAACACCACAAACATGTTTTAACAATGACGACATTCTAGGCTGGAGAAGCACATAATAAAATCTTTGAAAAGTCTTACCTCCAGATCAGTCTCATAATCCTCCTGCTCCACACTGTGTGTCCTCTGCTCATCTAACTGTCCTGTGTCCTGTTACATTTGAATTTTCCCTCCAAAAGTTTTGGGGAGGAGAATTCCAGAGGGAGGAGCCTCACCAGAAATTATAATAAAGTCATGTTTCCTCAACCTGATTAAAACATGCAGGTCTCACATCAGCCACAATCAAGCGATGTTTGTAAGATTTAAACATGCTTGACAGAGAAACGTAAAAAAGTGATGTTATTGTTGTCAAATTTGTTTTTGCAATTTGAGCAACCCCTCTCGGACCGTTTTTTCAGTGTACTGTAGGTAGTTGTGGGAGGTAAAGTGAAGTGAGCACACATGTACCACCATGTGTGGTTTGTTTTGGTTCTTCGGTGACGCCGTATGTGCACGTGTACTCGTATTAACAGATCCACTTAGACTCGTTGCTTCACAACTGCTGTAAGTTGAGTTTTGGGATGTAAGATGCGTTAATAATCTGTTGTTGTGAATCTGCCCAGGCACCGATTGCAGCTTCATCTGTCAGTTCGGCCCGCTGTAGAGGGGTGGGATTGTGCTTACATCTACCACGGGCCGCACTGACATTATTCTTTGGAATTAAGTGGAGGACCGCAAAAAATCCTTCTGAGGGCCGCAGTTGGCCCCCGGGCCGCGAGTCTGAGACCCCTGGTGTAGAGTGTTCTTTATGTTACACTATTCAATAGTAACTCTTTCTTCACTAAATACAGTGTAAATGCTGTGGTCGTTCTAGTTCATAATCCCTTTTACAAATGTAAAATAATGAAAACCACCACAAAATTCCATTTCAACTTAACTTGTATTAAAACCATGCACAACATGCAATAAACACAATTTAAACAAGTCATATGACACAATAGTATTTTTGCAAAAATCCAACTGACAGCAGGAATTTTCTGTGCCCTCAACAGTTGGTCACAATGATTGTCATTTATTTTTTTAAAGTTGATTTTTCAATGCAAGCAGTCGATGGATGAATGATGGATGGTGCCTCAGTTCCATTCAAGACAAGATCTTGAGATCTTGTCTTGAATGGAACTGAGGCACGCTCATCTCCAAAAATGAGAGGAGCATGTCTGACTGTTTGAAACAAGATCTTCTCTCCATTATATAAACATAACAATGTTCATAATAGATACAGTCCTGCTAATTATGAAACAGTAACATTGCAGAAACTTTGTCTATGTCTAAACCAGGACCAAACCAGGACTAAACCAGGTCTAAACTAGGACTAAACCAGGACAACATCAGGACTACACCAGGACTAAACCTGGACTACACCAGGACTACACCATTACTAAACCATGTCTAAAACAGGACCAGGACCAGTAAAAATACAGTTTTTGCTGTAGTTGGGAAAAATAAAGACACCAGTAGTAGTATAAATACAAGATATATTTGTTTAATACTGTGGAACATAGCAGTAGCAGTAGTAGTTGTAGTAGCAGAAGTAGGAGTTAGTAGTAGTAGCAGTAGTAGCCGAGTAGTTATAGTACTTATAGTAGTAGTAGGAGTAGTTTCCATGACGATAAGCTTGGCCACATCACTTGACCAAGTTACAGGTCAGATCTGTGGAGAAGTGGGCATGCTCACAGTAAAAATATATATTTTTACAGTAGTTTTGAGAAATAAAAATACCTGTAATAGAAACACAAGATATATTTGTTTAATTCCAATCTGGTAAGGCAAAGCAATAACATCACCATGAAGACAAACAGATGCCAGATCCTGCTTCATAAAAGTTACACAATGCACCTATGTTACGGCCCCAGGCCTTAGTTCTAATTTGTTTGTGTGATTTTTGCCGAGTTCTCTTGAGTCCTGCTGCAGGAGCCCTGGTCTGTGATTGGTGGGGCAGGATGATGCCCAGCTCATCTGCAGCCACCTCCCCCTATTTAAGAAGATTGCCAGCACCTGTTCGGGGATGCTAGCCTTGGTGGCCATTATGCCATTTAGTGTTTGTTTGTGTGTTTTAGTTCTGTTTTGTGCCTTTTTTGATTTGGTCACTCGATTCTGTTTGTGGGCTTATGTGGTTTAATTTGGGGAACTTTCGTGTGTGTCCCTTAATTTTACCACTCATTATTGTGTAAGCCTGCGTGACCCCTTTTGTGGCACAAAACATGTTGTCTGTAGTTTTGTTTCTTAATTAGGTTATTTTCTGTATATTTTTAGTCTTTTGTTAATTTACCTTTTACCTTCCTGTTAATTAAACATTATTTAATTTATTCAATTTTACATCTTGGTTTTATTTTTGTTACCTCCCTCACCCCAACGAGCTGGGTCGTAACAACCTATAATATGAATGCAAAAGGAAAAGAATTGTAAGGTTTTAAGGTGTTGATGGAGTTTGCGTGTTAGAGCCTGTAAATCACTTTTCTCTTTAAGATCATTGTTGACTGCTGTTTGCATCTGGTGAGCTCATTATAAAAAGTGAATTATGTATTTATGAAAATGTATACATTTTTTAAGTTATTTTCCAATCCGCAAACAATAAATTCTGGGGACAGGCCAAAACACTGCTTAGTCCAACTCAGTACAGCAAAAATTCGCTCGAACGTTATTCAGTTATTAAAGCAGAATGTTATGTGCTTGTAAAATTGAAGGGACTCCTTAAATTCTTTGCATGTCGTCTGAGGGTGGAGCTTAGTGTTCCATGTCAATCAAATTGGACTTTCATTTAAGTCCAGTTACATTTTTGTGATTATTACCTTCGCCAAGGAGGTTATGTTTTTGCCGGCGTTTGTTTGTTTGTTTGTTTGTCTGTTAGCAACATAACTCAAAAAGTTATGGACCGATTTTGATGAAATTTTCAGGATTTGTTGGAAATGTGAAAAGGAAGAACTGATTTCATTTTGGGGTTGATCCGGAAGAAATCCTGGATTCTGGATCACTTTGAAATTTTAGTTAACATTGTGGTAAATGGGGCCAAAAATTTTGTTTCTCAATATCTCGGTTAATTATTGACCAAACCCCATGAAATTTGACTCAGGGATGGACAATGGGATCCTCTTTCATATTCCAAAGGCTGATCCGGATCTGATCCAGAAGACTGATTTTTATCGCAATTTATATAAAAAATGGGGGTTCTAGTTGATTTTGTGATTTTTATGATTAATATGACACTATTTTCTGATATATGTTATAACGCTTCCTCGTCAAAAACATACCTGGAGTTGTGTTTTGTTTCATTCAGACACAAACCCTGCAAGTTTCAGCTGAGTTCTTCTCTCAAACTGAAAACACTCTCTTCCACCTTGTGATGTCATGTGGTTATATAGGAAGTGCTCAAGTGTGTCTTCAAACTCCACATGCTTTCAATACAATCATTTGATCATTTCAGCCCTAGAATTTCCCATCTCCAATGAACAAAAGGTAAAGAGTAGCTGTTAACGTGGAAACTACCTAGAGGAAAATTTGCTGCTCAAATATATCTTTTTTAAGCTGGGAAGACAAAGTTGAGACTGTCATTGTAGTCTCATTATAGTTTTAGATTTGTCTGGTGTGAATATTGTTTGTTTCTCCTCAAATTCACTAGGAGCAACGGGGAGACACAAACAGGAGTCCTACTTGAGGCACTGGTGAGAAACCGCTTTAACATCTGCAATGGAAACTAAAAGTAGTCCTACTTGAGACACTGGGGAGAAACATTTTTAACGGCTCAAATCAAATTGTCCTAAAAACATACAACTGAGAAAGAATAAAACATTTGTGAATTTCAAAAATGTTTTTATTGATAATATTAAAGAAACAAATATGTACACTTCAACTGAACATGGTACAGTTTTTTTTGTTTTTTTGTTTTACATTTCACCAATCCAAGCACCTTTGTACAGTTTAAATTGTATTTTTAACTCTTTGTAACATATACATACACACATATAGCTTTGGCTAATAATCAGAACTCCAACTAAAACCTTTCACATGTTCCAAATGCAGTCATTAATGAGTCGCAGTTTCACATATTGTTGGACATTGAATGTTCAAAGTTTCAAAAGTCGGGTTGGCCAGTTAAAGAGTCTACCTGGGTCTCTTCGGGAATTTTTCAGTATATCTAGACAGTGTGTCCATGGAAGACGGTGACTGGTTCACATTTTGGGTGCAGGTTTATCACTTGTTTTGTACTCATCACAATGTTTCAGGGAAAGATGCTCGCACTGTCTCCATTCGACTTCTACCTGCAACACATAATTAAATAACTTAAATCCAGAAAGGAAAAAAACGTATACACTTATATACATGAGGGAAATGACTTCACTTAAAAAAGCTAAAATAATTATGATCATAGTTATTTAATATTTAATAATATACTTTACATTTCCTATAAAAATACATATACTCTTCACATAAATGCATTATTTCCTTGCTACTAGACAATATTAGATAATATTAACGTTTTATGCTGTCTGCTTGGATACAAAAAAGGAACACACACAAAAAAGAAAAAAATTACAGAAAGCTCATTCCACAAAAAGCAGGGAATTCTATAGTGTAGCCTGCTCTTTAGGCGAACTGAAACACAAACTGTTCGGTGGCATTTCTATTTGACAATTTCCACGTACACTAGTATGTAGACTCTAATTCAACACACTCAAATCGAAGCACACACATGCATTTTCTGTCCCAGAGTCCAGCTAAATCAAGTGCGGCTCTACAGTTTGGCGGTAGCTGCTAGCGCTAGCACATAGGCACTAGCGTTGTTGTTAGCATTGTTAGCTTCAACCTAACTAGCTGCGAGCCTCAAAGAGAAATGTCCAGAAATATCTCTGAAAACAGCAGAGCTCAGCTGTTCACAGACACAAGTCCAAACACCAAAGCCACTCTCACCAATGGGCTTCAAGTTTGTCCTAGTTCAAGTTGAGCAGCACATGAGAAGTGACTCGGAGCCTAGTCTGAGGTTAGTTTGAGAAGAAGTGAAAATCAACAACTACTTATTTTACTCTACAGCACTGTCATAGTTGAAATAACTCTTTGACTGTGTTGAAACATATCTGGATTTTCTTCACTTTACTCACAAGAACACCAACACCGTGAATTTAACACTTTTGAACTTGCTGTGCCCTAAGCCAGGGGTCTCCAACCTTTTCTGTCCAGTGAGCTACCTTTATAAAACGAAAATGCCAGAGCTACCACTTTCAGCAGTGGCAAAGAAACTGAGTAAATATAAGAGCCATGGCAAGCCTTCGATGGGGAACAGTTAGATGCTTATAAAAAATAAACCATTATCCATGCACCAAGTTAGGCATCAAAATGATACATTAACAATGGTAGTTAATTAAATTTTACTTATTATCCACAATACATTGAATTCAGAAATCCTTTGGTGAGCTGCTTGGAAGGGGCTGGAAAGCTACTGGTACCTCCCGAGCCACAGGCTGGAGACCCCTGCCGTAGGTAAATTTTTTTGGTATGGATCTGTAGCCCACATTTTCAAATTTTAACCAACCAAGTGTTTTATATACAGTTTACAGGCACATCAGGTCTTCTGAATACATTCTGGCTGAGTTGGTGAGATGTGCAGAAATGTCACTGATTTGCATTGTTCACAAATGTCTCAAGTGCATAAACTCACAGCAACCACTGAATGAGTTACAGTGTGAAGGATATGCCTAGTAGCCCATTGTTGGAAATGGAAACAGTCAATGGGTGGACTGTGACAAGATAGCTCACTACATTTAAAAATTGTATTTGTACTTTTTTCAGGGGAGTTCTGACCCCAAAAGGGACACTAGAGGAACATGCTTTAAATGGAATACTCATCCCATGCCCTAACAGGTCTGTCAGTTTGAACCTGGGACCTAGATGGTATGCCATTGCCACCATGCAATCAAAATTAATGTTTTTGTATTCAAGTAAACAATTTCAACAAATTGTTGATTTATTATTCCACATGTGGTCAGTTTTCTTTCCACGCTTCCTTCTCTTTGATTTCTAGAGAGAAGATAAGAGAGAGAGGATATAAACTCCTTACTGGAACCAATAAAGTTTGATGTTTACCTGCCTTCTAAAGTCTCCCTCATATTTATTTCTTCAGCCTGTGGTTTTCTTTGGGACACCACTTAATATGACACATTTGATTGACAGTTACAAAATGGAGGATCAAGGAGAGGAATCAAGGAGGAGGAAGCCAGGAAAGAGAAATGAGACGTGGCCATAAAGTGGTGTCCCAAAGAAAACCACGGAAGGTTCATTTTAAGTTTGGTCTCAGTGAGGAGTTTATATCCTCTTTCCTCCCTTGCCTGTATCTCCTCTATAGGTGGGAGTTCCTCACCCATTTCCTGCAGAATCGAGGAAAAGAATTAAGGAGAAGGAAGCGGGAAAGAAAAAAGAGACATGACCCCCGTCTAAACCATATAATGTGCTTTAGAATGTCATTGCTGTGGGGAAAAACTCATTAGCCTATTTGCTGAGAAAATCAAGCATGTTAAAAAGTAAAAAAAAAAAAAATTAAAAGTAGTTATGAGTAGGCTATTGTGTATCTCTGTGTCATTTGAGGCTGATTAAAACATTTTTATATAAGAGTTACGCAGGATCTGGGGGAGGATGAACTTCCCTCTTCACCTGTATGTCCTGAGGTGGGCAGTTCTTTCTGTTTGGTGATTGGGCACACCTCTAACACGTCCCTCCTTTCCTCTGCTGTGGTTGGTCCCTTGGTCCCTCTTGAGCGACCACCGTCTGTGCTCATAGCTTCCTGCATATGTCTGTCCAGAGACGCCGACACACCCCTCGTATAGAGCCATGGGTCGGCTGATGTGAGACCAGCCCAGTGCACCCAATCAGAGCTCTTCATTCAGCAGGCAAGGTCCCGGCGTGCACGGGCGTCTACACCTGTGGGAATCAGCGGCGCGTGCAAGCCAGGGAGACTTTCAAAAGCACTACGAGCATCCATCATTTTTTATATTCTAAATGAAAATGACAGAAATTGACTTTTACTAAAAAGGTAATACATTTTTCAACACCAATACATGCAAAATTACACACTAAAAATACATACTAAAAAACTCTTTATGATTTAAATATACAAGTTATTGGGCATTTTTACGTGTAGCCAACATTTTGTCAAATCTAGGGCTCGTCTTATAGATCTAAAAATATCTTTATTTTTCAGGTAACGAAATTGTATGTGCTTCTTTTGAGCTGATGTTTGTTCATAAATTTGCAGGAATGTAATTTATTTTGTATTTTAATTAGATACTTTGAGTTTAGTTTTAAGATTGACGAGTGCTCGTGAACTGCGTCGGCTACGTCATGACGCAGGGCGGGGCGTATCCTGTCAGTTTTCCTGACTGACCCATGCTTGCCTTTGACAGTCTGCCTTGCTAGCTGTCGAGCACTGCTACTCTCTAGCTTCTCACAATTGTTCTGGGTGATTTTTTTTTAGCTCGGGGACATCTAGCGGACATCAAGACCGCGCGGACAAACCAGGTGCAGCAAAATGTCGAAAGATACGGAACAAAAAAGCGAAAAGATCATGGACATGGAGTGTAAAGCGCTGTGGTACCCAGACGCGAAGAGGGACACACAGATGGATAGATTCAGGATACAGGTCAACAAGGACTACGGGCTTAATCTGGGTGAGTTGGGAGGAGGAGCAGGCACCAAGGCTAGACAGAGCTGGGCTGTGACAAGGAGGTTTAACCGGAGGGAGCTTGATTAACTTGTTAGTTAAGTTAAGCTGTGTGATAACAACATAAACACTCCTCCCTCTGCAATACACGTGTAACAGCACTGCTATACACACTGTTAACATGCTAGTTATAATTATGTCAAAATAGGGTGATGAACTAGTGAAAAAACAAATTAGGAATGCAGAAAAACCTGTTATACTGTTAGTGTTGAGATGGGTTTATATAGATTATGTAACTCGGTCAGACAGTGATGATGGTGACACAAGGATTTGTCCAGTTTCCAGGTTACTGTAACATTGTTTAATCTGATCAGATCTTAAGTTAAACTATTTTAGTTTAGTTAAACTATAAACTCGTTGTATTTATATATTTACATCTGTCCAAATATGCAGGTATGAATGTGATGGTAATTCACACTATATATAAAATATAGTGTTCTTCTAGCTTTGATGCTGTTCTGTCTGCAGGGAACTATCATGATTTGTATCAGTGGTCAGTGGACTATTATCCTGAGTTCTGGACACAAGTGTGGAACTACTGTGGAGTGGTGTGCTCTAAACCCTATGATGAGGTAAGGAAAGTCTCTTCTGTCTGATTATATGTGTTAAACATGCTAGAGATGCTAAAAGCTGATGTTGTTCCACATCGTATTGCATGAATGGACTTCCAGGTGTGTAAAGCAGGACTATAACATTTCTATTTTATAACATAATCATACCTGTTCTTTCTAAAATGTTGAATAAATATTTAAGCAAGCAGAAACTATTTAGTCCAATTATTTGCTTTATTTGCTTTTCTTTCCATAAACTTGCTCTGTGGAACATGTTTGATTGATTGTATTTAAAATGCCATTACATGTAGTGTCTCTCTAGTGGCTAATTGGTATCTTCCTATTGCACCCATTTTGTAAACAGAACTAATTTAATTGTTGTTAGTGCCAGTTCTAACACTGCATCTAGGCTCTGTAATGGATTAACCATTTTTATGGTCTCGCCACACAATATTAAAAGCATTGCAAAGATGTGTCTACCTTTTTAACATGCTTTCATCTGCTAACTCTGACATTTCCCACTCTCTGATTGTGTACAGGTGGTGGACACCTCCAAGCGAATCTCAGATGTTCCTGAATGGTTCAGAGGAGCACGTCTAAACTACGCTGAAAATCTCCTCAAACATGCAGACCAGGATAAAGTGGCTCTGTACGCTGCTAGTAAGGAGATGCACATCATATTAAATTACCTTTGTAAATGCACATAAATATTCTTTTGCTAGGCCATATTTGCTACTGTATGTTTACGTGAATGTTATATACTGTTTGCACTATTTCCCCCAGAAATTTTATTAAATTGTAGGATAGATTGGAGAATAGCAGAATCAAACCTGCTGGTATATGTCACTTTTATTATATTAGGCCCCTGCTTTACCTCTCCAGGCTGTCACTGTAATGAAAAGCCCATACTTTATTGCTGTGTTAGAGAGAGAGAGAGACAGACAGACAGACAGAGAGAGAGAGACTGGCCTGCAAGCACACACCTCTCTTTAGGACTGTAATGCTATTATCTGCAGACTCATTGGTCATAATTTGCGGGTGCCTTCCTCAATGTCAGTAAACCTAATTCTCAGTCAGATAAGAGACTGTTACATATCGGAAGCTGCTTCCTTCATCCCTGGCTCACTGCCTTTGCACAAAGCCTCTAAATGTAATTAATGTTTTGGAATTGATTGATTGTTTCTAAAAAAAAATATATTCTCAAAAGGCTTCTTATGTGACTATGTGTAAGAAAAGTATTAAAAGGCTTTTGTGTATCATGCCTTAACCCCATAGATACTGAAATTCGCTCTGGCACCTCTGACTCCTATTGGCAACAAAGTGCTTAAACAGCTGTGTTCTGTTGTTCACTTATTTCACATTCTAAGTGCATGTATTTTTCAAAAACACCACTTCATACAGTATCATTGCACTAACTCATGAAATATTTTGTGGAGATTTTGAATTATAATTTTGTCCTTTTGTCTTCACAGCTGAGAAAAATGAAGAAATAGTGAAGGTGACATTTGGGGAGCTGAGACGTGACGTGGCGGTGTTTGCAGCAGCGATGAGAAAGATGGGCATCCAGACAGGAGACAGAGTTGTGGGTGAGTATCCCTCTCACAGTTCAGTGCGGAGCCTTGTGCTCTGAATCTGTGGGTGTAACGACCAGAGGGAAGGCCTTTTTGGCACCAGGCTCTCCTACTGAATGTGGCCTTTTATTTAATCCAACTCATATTTGAACAGTGAGGGATGGCTGTATATACATTTCTAACAGATTTAACAGAGAAGTAACACTTGTAGGATTTTAGGATTAGCTCCAGCATTAGCTATAGCTATCTATCTAATCAGCAAACAAAATGTATGTTTTTCTGTGTTTTGTTCCCACATATTGTAGTGTTCTAGTGTTCAGTGACACATTTCTAGTGGCATAATATTCAGCTCTTTGTTTACTTTGTCACTATGAGAAGATTATATTACATTACAGGTTCTCCAATATCCAACAGAAATACTTCATTTTATACTTTCCCACCACCGAATACTGCTGTTTCAAAATTTTTAGAGCTTGTAACTAAAGTGTAAATGCTCTGTCTATTCAACTAAAACACCTTATTACAACAATGTTACAACAATAGTTAACTAAAAGTAACCCCTAAACTAAACATATCTGAAAAGGCGTAGCTCTATGTACCTGGACAGATTTCTTGACACTAAAAACACTTGTTTATACATTTTAGTCTGATAAAATGTAAAATACCTTATTTTTCCACATGATTACCACTGTAAAACTTGACTTAAGAGCATTAAGGGTATTTTTGCTGGTGGTTTCATGGTGTTGCTTGAATTCAAATTAATGCATTGCAGAAGAATAACCATAGCACTTGCATGGACCCCTTTAGCCAGATCAGAGATGGATATTGTAGCAGTAAAATCCATTAGCTAAATGACTTAAAGCTTTGTGGGAATCTCATTAGAAGGGTCAGGATGGAATAGAGAGTGAAAGAAAAGAGAGAGGGAGAGATTGGACCCCATCTCTCCTGGTATTTTAGCTTTGTATCACTGCGTCATTTTATTGAAGCGTTACAGGCAGAGATGTCCTTGTCCGCTTGTTGGAAGTGAAATGGCTTGTCACTATCTTGAAGATATATAAGCACTTAGCTAATGAAGCCGGCTGAGGTTTTATAGCAATGAGCCACCAACTCCCCCGCCTCTGTGCTCTGCCTCTCTATATTTAGAACTGCACATGCATTGGTTTTACCTTTATTATATTTTTTATGATTATAATATTTTTGTAAGGCCTATAGTTTTTTAATACAGCAAGGCTCTTGAATTTAAGGGCGTATTATTTTACACAATCACCTTACCACCTTGTATTCTTTTCTGGGAACTCACCTAGTCAGTTGTTAGTGGAAAACATACTTTCAGGTCACATACTATTGCTATAGCGTGCAATATTAGGCGTGCTCATTATGTATTCTGCTCATAAGGTGCACTGTGTAACTGTTCTGATTGAGGCTATACTACCTGCTTGTCTCCATGGAGAGATGATATTGCTTTGCTTGGAATGTTCCACCATACAGCATTAAACTTATCTATCTTGTATTACACTTGTCAATGTAAAAAAAAAAAAAACCTGGAAAAAAGATATTCTTGCCATTAGCAGGGTTACCACTTCACAGGTTGGACCTGCAACTTGACCTGGTGGTATCACACATGTGTCTCCATGGAGACAGATATATTAAATGCTAAGGGTGTAACAGTACATGTATTCGTGCCAAACCATTTTGGTACAGGATTTTCGATACACTCTATACATTTGCTAATGTGGTAAATGACTATTCTAACTGCAAATGACTGTTTTTTTTAGAGGCCCATTTCCAGCAACTATCACTCCAGTGTTCTAATGGTACAATGTGTTTGCGCATTGTGTCAGAAGGCTAATGAATGATTAGAAAACCCTTGTGCAATCATGTTAGGACAGCTGAAAAGAGTTTAGCTGGTTAAAAAAGCTATAAAACTGACCTTCCTTTGAGCAGGTTGAGTATCTGGAGCATCACATTTGTGGGGTCGATTAAACGCTCAAAATGGCCAGAAAAAGAGAACTTTCATGTGAAACTTGACAGTCTATTCTTGTTCTTAAAAATGAAGGCTATTCCATGTGAGAAACTACTACTCCCTTCATAGAACAGCACAAACAGGCTCTAACCAGAGTAGAATTAGAAGTAGAAGGCCCTGCTGCACAACTAAGCAAGAAGATAAGTACATTAGAGTCTGTAGTTTGAGAAATAGACGCCTCACAGGTCCTCAACTGGCAGCTTCATTAAATAGTACCTTCAAAATGCCAGTGTCAACATCTACAGTGAAGAGGCGACTCTTGGATGCTGGCCTTCAGGGCAGAGTGGCAAAGAAAAAGCCATATCTGAGACTGGCCAATAAAAGAAAAAGATTAATATGGTGTTTGGATCACACAGAAGAACATTTGTGAGATGTAGAACAACTGAAAAGATGTTGGAAGAGTGTCTGACTCCATCTGTCAAGCATGGTGGGGCTAACCTGATGATCTGGGGTTGCTTTGGTGCTGGTAAGGTGGGAGATTTGATCAGGGTAATAGGGATTTTGAATAAGGAAGGCTATCACTCCATTTTGCAATGCCATGCCATACCCTGTGGACAGTGCTTGATTGGAGCCAATTTCATCCTACAACAGGACAATGACCAAAACACACCTCCAAATTGTGCAAGAACTATTTAGTCGCAGTCACCAGATCTAAACCCCATTGAGCTGTTGTGGGAGCAGCTTGACTGTATGGTACGCAAGAAATGCCCATCCAGGTAATCCAATTTGTGGGACAGTGTTCTAGAAGCATGGGGTGAAATTTCTCCAGATTACCTCAACAAATTAACAGCTAGAATGCCAAAGGTCTGCTATGCTGTAATTGCTGCAAATGGATAATTCTTTGACGAAAGCAAAGTTTGAAGGAAAAATATATTATTTCAAATGCAAATCATTATTTCTAACCTTGTCAATGTCTTGACTATATGTTCTATTAATTATTTTATATATATATATATATAATATTATATATTATACTTTTTTTTTGCTTAATTTCATTCATTTGTTGCTTATTTTAGTTTTTTTTAATTTTTTTTATTACTAGTATTAACAAGCAGCACTTTGCATTTATTTTATTTTCCCGTTAAATGCTAAAACAAATGATTGGTTTAATAAACACACAAATAAACAATAAGCAAATGGTTTTGCATTTTGTTCCTATACTGTACCGAAAATGAATTGAACCGTGACCTCAAAACCGAGTTACACCCTGAACTGTAATTTTTGTGTACCATTACACCTCTATTAAATGCCATTCTGTGCAACACATCTGGTATAGAGATTTTCACATTAAACAAAATACATAGATTTGTTTATAAAACTAATCTGTTCCACTTCTGTCAAACTTCTTCATTTACATTCACCTTTATTTTGGAAAAGAAGGTAATTTGAGTCTCTGTGAAGTGAAGTTTGCATTTTCTTCCTATGTTATTTGGGCATCTTTATCTGTGCTTAGATATCTTGACCATTCCTTGAGTCCTTCCTTTCCTTCTTAATTATGATCAGTGACTCCACCCTAAGCAGTTTTGCTGGTCTCTTGGTGCATACGCTGTTGTCTGAGTGATTCATAACATTAGTGGCAGTAGCAGTCAGGCAAGGCACTGTGGTAACAACATGATCCATGACGTGGTGAGTCCTGCTCTGATGTAAGAGGAGGGTAATTCATGTAGCGCCCAGTAGCCAGCATAGCAGGGCAGTGTTCCGTCGTGTAAATGTGCTTCTCCACTTCCTGGTTACAGCTAGACTCGGCATAGCAACCATTCTGGCACAATAGTCATGATTCCTCAGCAGTGACAGTACACCTGGAGATTGCCTTGTCCATAGCGGCCAATTAGTTGGAACTAGTCCCATATGTGTAATAGTTTTACGAAGTCAGATAAGATGTACTTTATTGATAGACCAACCCTCTTTTTCAATACAGAGCTTCTGTGAGTCTTGGCTGAGTGCCCAGTGCCTTTTACTTGATGTCAGTATCTGTCCACGTCTACATGAGGGAGAAGGCTGTGTCCTTAAACTCTATTTCCATTATTGATGTTTGAATAAATTGACCTGAACAGTTAAGAGAAGCTTGTTAGAAATGACATACAAACAAAAAAGATTCATAGTTGGTTGGATAATATTGAATTTTATTTGGAAATGTTTTGTTATCAGTGCCATGTTATTGACGGAGGGTCCAAGTGTTTTTAGATTTTTTGCAACGAAGATCGTGAAAGTAGGAGGGTTGCCAAAAAATCCATGCTGAAAGAAACCAAAGTAGATATTCATTTGAGCATATATTGATACTGAAAAAATGAGATAAATAGGGCAAAGGTTGACATTCCAGAATAGTTTTAGAAAGGTCTTGAATCTTGATCCATATCCGATCACCTGATAACATTGCATTTTTTTCCCTCAAAAATAGTATTGTATCATCATTTTATGATATCAAAATTGTAGTGAAACTTAGTTATACTGCTAATAATAGGATAACTATCAATTAAGTAGAATATTTTATTTATTATTTAATAGAATAAACTGTATGTTTTTATACAGGAAATGTTTGTTATACTAGAAAATACACATCAGTGATAAATGACTTTTTCTTCACACTGTGATTAACATCACTCCTTAAATAGTTTCCCCCTAATTTAGTATTGTTTGGTGTTTTACGATGTTTCATTTTTGAGTGACTCTGTGTTTCTCTGTTTAGGCTACCTTCCCAATGGTATCCATGCTGTAGAGGCCATGTTAGCAGCCGCTAGCATCGGGGCCATTTGGAGCTCCACCTCAGTCGACTTTGGTGTCAATGTATGTTTGTTTGGTTCTAACACTCTTCTCATTTGAGTATTTAAACAAGAAGTTATTCACCAACAGTCTTGTTTTTTTTGTAAACATTATTTTGATTGCTGGCATAACCAACTTACATGAGAAGGGAGGAAAGGCTGAATAACTTAAACGTGTGTTTGTGGACATAATGAGCTTCCTATGGCTATATCCTCCTCAATGGTCACCTTGTACTGATATTGTGCCTCTGTTTCTTGTTTGTTACTGCCCTCTTGTGGCTACAAAAAGATGTAGCAAAAACCGCTATAAAGAACATGACAGCAGTGGAAGTAACTATACATATATTTGGCAAAGCAAATATGTCAGATACCTAGCATTGGAGTTAAAATAATTGGAGTTAAATTAATTAATTGAGTAAATTAACTGTGCAAAATGGCACTGCTTCAAACAATTTTTTCCAAGATTATTTTGCTAATATTGAGGATTCTTTTTTTCAGGGGGTCCTTGATAGGTTTTCACAAATCCAACCCAAACTGATTTTTTCTGTCGCTGCTGTGGTTTATAATGGAAAAACACATGACCATATGGAAAAGTTGATCAGTGTAGTTAAAGGTCAGTAACTGGATCAATTAACTTAGTTGTTACGCATACTTGATTGCCATATTACAGTTGCTTATATTTGATTCACTTATAGTATTTAAAATCATATTCAACTCTTTTTTGGTCTTTCTATAGGCTTACCTGACCTGAAAAAAGTTGTGGTTATTCCCTATGCACGGTCAAAACAGGAAACAGATCTCTCAAAGATTCCCAACAGGTAAGGCAAGATGCATAATAGCTTTTCAAGGATCAGATGACATGTGGTACATCTTTTCTTGTACAAATGCTGTTCTTTTTCTACAGTGTATTTATTGAAGACTTCTTGGCAACGGGACACGGAGAAGCTGGCCAATTTCCACAGTTAGAGTTTGAACAACTTCCCTTCAGTCACCCACTCTTCATTATGTATTCCTCTGGCACTACAGGAGCTCCAAAATGTATGGTCCACTCTGCGGGGGTAAGATACTTTGGCAAGAACAGATAACATAATGATTGGCAAATAAAAAAGTAGAACGTGATAACATAATTTGTAATTGTAGTAATATTTTTCTTTGACTATATTTGTGTCAAAACCCTTAACATTTGATATACAGGTACTAAATAATCTTTAAAGAAAACTTGAATAGGACTGTAAATTGAATGGATGCAATTAGCACATCACAAATAGCCACTTTTAAAATTCCATAATTTCCTCTGCAAACAACAAAATATTCTGCATTGTTCTGCTTAAAAACTGCTAACCCTGTGCTTTTAGATCTATACAAACATGTTTGGCCTAGGGTATTATATCACTGAATATTTATCTAAGTGTCGGGGAATTTACCCTAAGACATCAAATTACATTAAATAAGACACACCAAAACGAGACGGGTAAAATTAATACTTGCACAAGGAAAGAGAGCTGTCAGAGCCTGTCTGTACCACTGGCTGATCCTACTCTACTCTGCCAGCTCTCTCCCCAACAGCAGGTTTTATTGCAGTCATTTCACAGATAACAATACAGTACATTATGTTATATCACACGATGTTTACAATGATCACATGCTAACAATCTTTAGGGTAAACCACCCTCCCATTTCACACTTGATTACAGGCTCCAGGTGATAAACAATTTGGTCAGTTTTCTCCCAAAAACTTATGCTAACCACATGAGGGGAAAAAACCCTTAGCTGTCTTCTCATGGGTGACTCAGTAGATTAGCTTAATGAGTCAAGAGTTCTTGAACTAGGACATATGATATACATATGGAAAAACCCAAAAACGCAATTGTTGATAACTTTAATCACACACACAAATGATTATGATTTTAAATGATTCATAATATTTTAAAATAACACATAAATTCTTTCACATTTCCCTCCTGTTTATCAATAATAATAATAATAATAATAATAAGCAAATTGTTAAAGACCATATAAATAGGTTATAAATAAGTAACCGCACACTTAAATTTACTAGGCGTTTACTAGTTTGACCACTAGATGGCAGCATATCTACACCATCACGAATAAAGGTACTTCGGGAAAAGTGGATAAATGCCACTCGTCCAAGGTTAAAACACTCAACAGCCTGAATAAGTTTTTAGACAAAATATGTTTCAACACTCAAATGAGTTATGCACTCACTGGCCTGCCTCCTCTGATCTCATTGCTCTTTTTATGTTTTACTTGTTCACATTCATTTTCTGTACTATTTATTCTAGCAGTACATATTTCTCAATCACACAGTGTCCTTCCAAACACGTTTTTACAGCGTATTGTTGTCCTTAGTGCTTTTGTGGTCCACCTTCTCTCCTTGAAGCTGGCGATAATTGGAGAGTAATGTATTGAGAAAACATTTCATAGTGAGACACTGGCAGTCTTTCTGGCTCTCCCAATTAGCCCCGGCACTGTTGTGCTTTCTGCTTTGTTACGGCTCTGTTAACATGCTGTCAGCAGCAAGAAGGCATGCACCAAAGGGCGACTGTGGCAGAGCGCACTGCCAACACTACACTCTACACAGTGCTTCACACACACGCACATGCACACACATGCCCACGCACGCATCACACACACGCACCTGGACACACACATAGGCTGAATACACAGTGAACAGACCAGGGCCGTTGCCAGTGATAATGACCCATCAAGTTGTAAACAGCGGGGGTTTGGAGGAGAAAGGCTCACTTAACACAAGTTTGACTTTTTGCAAAGTGCCTTATTTTGAGAGAATTGGTCTGAATTAAATTACACATGAGAAAGTAGAGGGTTTTAATAAACAATCCTTTATGATTTCTGGTATGCAGTTTAGATCAGGTTCTTGGATCAGCTTGGTACTCCTGACAAGTATTTATCTTCTTTTTCTTCAGGCAGATTGCATTGGCATTGGCTAAATGAATGCTTAACAATGATTAAATAAATGAAAAAGAAAGTGATTCTTGAGAGTCAGGACAAAATAGGTCCTTCCTGAAACACAGAAATTTGTAGAAGAATATTTTCAAAATAATCATAATTGGCATACTTACAAAAAGTCAAATCCAAGCCAGATCTTTTCAAAACCTGTTTTGTCCCAGCTCTCAAGAATCACCGAAATAATAAACTGACAAATAAAACTTTCATTCATATTTCTGCTCTTTCAGGGCACTCTCATCCAACACTTGAAGGAGCACGTTCTCCATGGTAACATGACCAGCAGTGACGTCATCATCTACTACACCACGGTACTTACCAACGTCTATTATACAGTGACACACCTGTATCCCAACATCTGTAGCACATGTTGGAGCAGCACTGGTCTAACGTGATGGTGTCCAGCAGGTAGCAGGAGTAAGCGATGGGTGCAGGGGGCTTTTAATCACAAGTCTGTGCACATTCACAATAGGCACACTCAGCTCTTCTAATGAGCTGCATTGTGTGCTGAAGGTCAGGCTTGTGTATATATTAATCATTGTTCTGAAAAATACAGCACTTTTTAGGAAAATAATTTTGGAAGTTACTCATTTGATTAAAATGTTACTGTTTTAATTCTACTGTTAAATGTGCCCAATGTTACTTTTCTGGTGTACGTTAAGGTTTAGGTACACTTTGTGTGGTGTCTACCACTACCACTGTGTCTACCACACTGTCTCCATGGAGATGTTATTTCTTTATTTGGAATGTACCACAGTATGGTATTAAACTTGTCTATCTTCATGGTGACAAATAACTGACTCCATCAAATTAAGTTACAGATCAGATCTTTGGAGAGGGGAGCCCATATACACTAACACTACTGTTATTTTTATGCAATTAAAACTCCAGAAATAATAAAATAAGTTTGAACGATTCCGTGTCTATAGATCCAAGTGACAGACACCCAAAAATGTTACATAGTGCACATTTTAAAATAGTGTGAATTGCTTCCATGCAGACCAGGTTGATGTCCCTTTCGCTGCCATTTGTGCTGCGTGTTGGGTGCAGATAAAGTGATGATGTGCTTGTTGTGTCCAGACGGGCTGGATGATGTGGAACTGGCTGGTGTCTGCTCTGGCAATTGGAGCCTCAGTGGTTTTATACGACGGTTCACCTCTCATGCCCACGCCCAATGTTCTGTGGGACCTCACCGACCGGCTGGGGTGAGTCCTATACATACACAAAAGGGTACAGACAAAACTATTTTATTTCCACTTTTTGCACTTAATTTGAGGTAGAATATATATTGAACAATTGAGAATATTGCAAATGTTGTTTTGCAAATTATTGAGTATGACTTCTATAATCCAAATGGGTTTAAAAGACTGCAAAAACTGAATCTGATTAAAATGAAGATGAAACAAACTTGCGGTGTAGTATTTCAATTAAGAGTATAAAGTGGTGTTTCTTGACTTGCCCATTCACATTTTGTGCAATGCTTGATCCTCAGCCGCAACATTTACAGGCACGTTTGAACATATGTCTGATGGATTGTGATAATATTGTGTGAGTATTGTCATTGGCATTATCTAAAAATGTATAGATATTCATTTTTGTCAGTATTGCCTTTCACCAAATTTGAAATCAGTACTTATAAAGTGCACACTGAATATGTTGTGAGGGTATCGTACATCTGCTCTATGACCACAATATAATGTGAAAATGAGCATATTCTGGTTGACATGTATGATATGGTGCAACACGTGGTACAGTATGATGGAAAATTTTAATTCAAAGCTTTCTTAAAATGTTATTTGTTTAAATCACTGTATTCTGCAATGTTTGCAAATATCAGATTCATATTTATATATCAGTAAGCAAAAGGACGTTATCTGGTGAGGTGTGTAAAGAAACTCTTGTGTTATTGACGACTAGAAAAGAGCAGCTTGGACATCAGTGACAAAGTGCAGTGATGTTGGACTCCGCTGAACAGGCGCTTTGCCCTGAGCTGGGTCAGCTGTCTTTAGGTCTATTGTTACTACAATTGATGGTAACACTGTATACTTAAAAAGGTCTGACCTCCAGCTCTTAAACTTAAGTGTTACATAGATTTGTGTATTTAAGACCATATCATTGTAAATTATATCAAATCAAATTACTGAAGCAGTCCTAAATGTGTGCACACTGTTTCCAAGTTCACTGACTTTACTTAGGCCTTGAAAAAACCCTTGAGAAAACTGTAGTCAGCAGAAGGAAGGGTCTTTAAGCTAGTGATACTACAGGCACATCTTCAACATTGGCATATTGCCCTTAGCAAGGAGTAAAATGGGAAACAGCTAGAAAACTCTGACATAAGATAGAAACTCAAATCTATGTAGCGTTAAAGTGCCAGGACAGGCTGTTTGACTGCTGCAGAGACCCCAACTAATGAGCTGCGTTAGAGTCTGTTTTGCTTTTTTCCAACCAATTTAGATTCATCATAGAGGAGTAGGACCACAAATGATGATTGGTTGCTTGGTAACTCATCTTGTAAAGTAGATGTCAGTCCTGTCCTTTATATAGCCATTTAAAAAAGGACAATTTTTGTACTAAAACACCTGTATCTGAAAATGAAATGGTCACATGAAACCGCTTCAGAAATACCCGTGTAGCAGTAAGAGACTTTAACTGGGAGTACATTTTGGAACCAATTAAGTGCTGATGTAGCCCCTTTAGACACATTTCCCACAATCCATTGCTTTGTGGAAAACCCTCTGGGAAGGGCTGACATGAAACTTCCTCCTCCTTCGTCTTGTGAACGGAGCCTGGACATTTTAATTGGGGCTAAATCTGTCAGGGCCCCTGCCAGACTTAAACTCACATTGAGAGCTGAATGTTGGATTTCGTGGTTTAAGTTTGCTGTCGATTTCTACATTTCTAGAGCAGATGACATTTACACTTTTAAAGGATTAGGAGGTCAGCGACATTATTACAAGATGACATTTTCGCTGATGGAATGGCAATTTACTGAAACATTTTCAAAATGTTTAATTGCAGTAATTGTTGCATTAAAAAGCAGAGATGGAAAAGATCACTTGTATTTTTGTCATGGTTCAGTAGTTATAGGGTTACCTTTTATTTTAATAGCAGGACTCTTGTGAATTAAAGTTAAAGTTTCAAAGAGTTATCTTAAAGGTGTACTGTCTAAGTTTCTGATGGAGGGTCCATCTGATTGTCTTCATTAAGATGTCCTACAGTATGGCATTAAACTTATCCATCTCCGAAAAGACAAAGATGTGAACTATCAGGCAAAGTTACAGGTCTGATCTGTGGAGAAATAATGCTTTTCAAGGTTTTTCTAAGCAATAAGACGCCTGTAATAAATTAATTTAATGCCATATTGTGTAGTATTCTGGGCAAAGCTATAACATCTCCATGAGACAAATAAGTTGTGGACTCTCCACCAGAAAAGTTACACAATGCGCCTTTAAATATTTCATAAGCTTCAATGGCTCAAAGGGTCTGCCATCTGCTTGTCTCCATGCCTTTGTCTGGAATATTCCACAATATGGCATTAAACATATTTGTCTTGCCTATATTTAATTGCAGGTCTTTTGCGGCAAAAAGTCAGATACCGTCTTACTGAATGTGCAGATCTGAGCGTGTCAGAAAAGTTACATGGTTGTACAACAAAAGTAGAATGTTTTTTGATTACTTTGAAACTGAAAATCCACAACTATTAAAAAGGCATGTGTATGGTATAGCATGAAACTGAATAAACCCATAGTTGTTTGAACTGTTAAATGAAAGACTAGTGGCTATTCATATGTTTATTTTTCAGTTGCTGCTACTGTTTTTCTTTTCTTTTTGCACTCTGGTAAAGTGTCTATTCTGATTACAGATTGCAGTGCGGGAGGTTAGTAAACAAGTGGCTTTTCAGTTGCTGCAACACGACACGCACAAAGCAGCGTTTAATGCAATAACTGCTCAGTCCTTGTTTTCGATTGGCTTCAAGTATCTCTTATTTGGTAATGTCCCACACTTGTACTGTACGGGCGCAGACATGGGCACACGATGTCGGGCAGCCTCCTAAACAGCCCATTAGAATCCACACCTGGCCACCTGCCTCCAATCAGGACCGAGCCAGCGTTGCCATGGCAGTGAGCGTCCAACAAATGCGCTGTTGGATGGGGGGTCGCACATGATTGATGGGCTCATAAATAGTGCTCAGGATGACAGAGACGGCCCTTGAGTTTGTGAGAGTGTCTTTTGGGATGACAGCACATAAATTAACTATTTCTTATTTTTTGTGGCTGAATTGTCAAAGCGGAGAAGGCTGGAGTTTAGACAGTACATTGTGCAGTTTCATTTCAGCTACAGTAGCTACTAGGACAATTGCCTGGACACTTTAATTTCAAGTTTTATTACTTTATGTCATGTAAGGTGAGTAAGCTTTAACAGGCCTGAGGTAGACAGACAGCAGTGAAACAGTCATTCTGTGCTATCAGCCTATCTGACCAGCACAAATCTGAGAGTATGCACTAGAGCCACTGGTTCCCCACTGTGGTACCTGGCATTCCCAGCGGTCTCCCTTCCCATTTCTAACCAGGCTCAACATTGCTTAGCTTCTGAGATCTCACAAGAACTGCAAAGAGCTGATAGATTGGGCATTCTCACAGTGATAAGCCCATGTATGTTTTTTCTATAGCTTTTCTGCTAGTAACCTTTGCTCATTAAATATCACATTGCCTTAGCAGATTTTCATACACTAGTGTTTTTTCCTCTACAGTCTATGGGAATAATGACTGGGAATTTTAATCCAGGAATCAGAAAAGTGTGTGGGACATTTCAACTACATTTTTGTTCAAAACATCTTCTTGCCAACAGAGGGAACATGAATTTTCATGTTATAAGGCTTAAGACAATGGCTACTTGTTATTAACTTTAGAGTTTTTGTGTGGGACCATGTTCTTGTTTTCAAGGACTTCTGATTGCAATAGGGGTCAGACTAATAATTTATCACATTTAGTACTGAGTAATAAATAAATACTGTTAACATTTCTTAAGTCTGGAAAAATGTTGAAAACTGAACTGAGCTTATATTTTGTCTTGCTGATTTTTTTGAAGAGCCTTCTATCAAATACATATTACATTTTTCTATTTCCTCTTCTGAACATCTTGTGATATTGCTATCTCAACAAAACTTAAATGCAAATAATGTTTATGACAACCACCAGCATAGTAGCTGCACTTTTTTGTTGTGGTATCTTGTGATTCAACTTGAAATTATGGCAAATACATTTTCAAACACAAATTTAAATTCTTTTGTAAAACCCAGCCTTCTGATAATGTGACCATCCAAAATCTATGTTTAGAGTTGTGTACCTTGTGACCCCATGTTGTCCCATCATCTTCCTATCTGTTCTCTCTTCACTAATCTATACATCGACCATGGAGTTGTTCAGTGTCACTCAGCCAGTTTCTCTTTCACATTTGATTGATAGACACGGTTACTATAGTGATATGCCGCTGTGGGATTGATTGATGCAAGAAAAGGAGACGCAGAAACAGTGACAGACACACATTCACCAAGGCAAAGCTTTTAATAGCTTTTGTTTTCAGATTCAAAGTGCAGTGGTGACGTGTTGACATTTTTTGCCTTCCACATGTTGCTCGAGTATTGTCAGCTGTCAGGGCAGAAGGACAGCAAAAAAAAAAAAAAAAAAAACATGCTTCAAAGTTACTTAACCACCAGGAGTAATCTATTAGTGCACTCAGTCAATCAGCTTCATCAATATAAGTCTCTTGGCTGGTAATTTTCCCACTGAACACTGAACCTAGTCTGGAGATATCGAGATAAACATGATTATTTTGTTGTTTTTGGTAACTCTTCAGATAACAATACCCAGATTGTTTTATATTTGTAATTATAAATGTGCTAAAACGTGGCTCTAAATGTCCTGATTTTGGTTCAGCTGTGAAGACTTATAGGGACCCTTGTTTGTCATTATACTCTGGTAGTTTTGTTTTTTGTTTTCGTTGTTCCATCAACTCTTAAGCAACTTTTTGACAGTTTCTAATATACAAAATTTTTGCTTACTTCTGGAACAGCGTTTTTTATCTGTTATGTCATCCACAAATTATGTGATCTGCAGTTGTAAAAAAAAAAAAACTTAAAGCTGTGTAGTCACTTTTTTGTATTAAAATCAAGCTAAAAGCCTTTCCTAGTTTTGTCAGATGGCCAGTCAAAACAACATATTGTCTTATATTGGAGATTTAAGTCTGATAGTGTTACTAAAACATACCAATCTCGCCTCGATATATCTCTAGTTTCAGCCCTTTTCACTTGCTCCTCTAGGGTAAGTTTCTGCTTGTGATTCTTCTAAAAAGTAGTCTGCCCCAGTGGAAGCACAGACATTTAGGACAAGTCTGTTTTTGGTGGCGCATAAAAATGTAGAAATTATGCCTTGTCATGCATAGGTAAAAGGCCACAAATGAACCACTGTGAACTCTACCATCGTACGTGAGGCAGCATCCCCTCACCATTTACAAAGTCTCTGTCTCTCTCTACTTTGATTCTTCTAATGCAGAGTCTGTTTGCTGGTGCAGATCACTTCACCGCGCAGCATTGTAAAAGATATCCAGATTACGTTGCTCTGTGAGGCTTCTGTTATTGTCAGATAAGTTTCACAATAAGGCGACATGCAGTGTGGTTGCTCCGATCATTTCCGAAGCAACTTTTTATCAAGAGCTTTTATCTGTAATAAGTGTGCTGTTGACATCCTTCACAAGACCTTGGGAGGAGATTGTGTTTTGTAGCATGTTAAATAAATACTTTGACTGGTTAATCTGATCTCAACACATCGCTGCGCTGTATATTGAAGAAAGCATATAATTTGAATGTAAAAAAATGTTTTGGTTTACGTTATGGATGAGGGTGCAACATGCTTTCAGCTTTCAGTGTCCTTAGCAATTAATTAATAACATTTACAAGACACTGGACAACTCTTATACTATATTATACAGAAATTGCTTTTCAGTTTTAGGCCATAAATCCTAATCCTCTCATCAATATTCTCTAATTTGAGCTTCACCTTTTATAGTAGGTTTGTGTTGGTATGTGACACTTACAAGAAAATGTGTTGACATCCAATAGTAAGAAGGCTATAGGTTTGAGTAAAGTAAGTAAATAAGTAAGTCATGAAAAGAAGTTGGGAGTAAGTTTGACTGAACAATTAAAAAAAATATATATATATATATATAATATTTCAAATGAATTTTAGTACAGTGAATCCACTAAAACTAAATAATTGAAATGCATATTTGATTTTATCTGTTTACATGATTAAGCTCTTTAGCACAAGAGTGGGGGAAAAATGGGGATAAAAAAACAGAAAGAAAAGCATAAATATTGTGTCTAGTGTCTAAGAATACTTTTTGTGAAACTTTGACACACTTAAATAAAAAAAACTAATAAACTTATATTTACAACAATGATATTCAATCTACATTGTTTTTTTTGTTTTTGTTTTTTTTGCAAAGAGGATCTGCAATCTGATTACAAATGAAAATCCAATGTAAAATGGTACCAATCTTGTTACCCTTGATTAAGTTCTTTGCCCTGACATGACCCCCGAATCAATGACCAATTTCTACATAAAACTTTGCAGTGAGAACTAGCACTCATAGTCCAGGATATTCTCTGCACCACTTATCTTTAGATTTAATGATGAAATGCAATGAGGGTCCAGCCATCCATCTGTCTGACACTTTGAGCAAAGATGTCTTGACAATTGAAAAACAGACCCCCATAAAACACAGCCTGATAATAAAGCCACCACGGAGGATGACTCATTTTGTTTGTTAATTTGGTTTTGTTAATTGTGTCTTGTCATTATTGAAGATGTAGGAGGGAGCTCACCAAATGCTTTTAATTGACAACATTGCAGCTATTGTTCATCTTTCTCACATGTGTTGACGCTTGCTGGTAAATGTCTAAAATATAAATAATGATAAAATGTTTCTTTCTTTTTTATTCCAGTATCACTATTTTTGGGACCGGGGCTAAGTGGCTGTCAGTGCTGCAGGAGAGGGACTTGAAACCCAGTAAGTCCACATATGTGCATGGAGATAAACACATGAATAGATAACAAGCTGATGCATAAAAAAAAAAACAGATTCAAGTAGGCCTGTCATGATAATTACTATATCGTTTAATATATGACAGGTGGAACAATATTTGTTTTAGCTCAGTAGTTATCATGTGCATATTTTCTTTGTAAATTGGGGAGATTTGGGGTATTTTTTGTTGTAATACAATAAGATTTGAGCTGTAGAGTGGTAGTAATAGTTGAATAACTAACTTCTATAGCTAATTATTGTTTAATTTTGCTATTTATTTGTTGCAGCTTGGGCCTTTTAATGATACTGTCTATTTAAAAATGGTTTACTGAGATTATCTTGCGTTATTGTTATTGTTTTAGTGACATAAAGTACTTTCAATATTATCACAGTATATCTACTGTATGCAATAGTATATCATGCTTCAAAATTTTTTGTCGTGGCAGCCCTAGATTCTAGCTTCTAAAATGAAACAGAAAATGAGAATAAAATGATAGACAATGTGATAACTATAATATGCACGTATAGTTTGACTCCATTCGTCCTTTAGACACTTTTAGCGTGATTCAACAGTTTGGCCTGTGCGGCGGTGTTTGACAGTGAGTCGTCTGGATAAACGAGCTGTAAGGATAATTCTCACCAGTCATGGATGGGAGGAGCTAATTGCTTTTAGTGTCAGCTCTCTCTGGAGACAGGACCTGCTCCCTGTGCATAATCAGAGCTGTGTAGCCACTTATTAGCCCTCCAGCCAACCTTCATGTGTGTTATCTGAACACTGTTACTTTCTGTTTTTATTACACAAGGGATGAAAAGCTTTTTGGGCAGATATGCTAAAATGTTGGAGTGTTTTTCCAATGCAGAAAGCCTTTACAAGTTGTTTGACGTTAAATATAAAAAGATGATTACAAACAATTACATTCAGAAGCATCAGAAAACTATTCACCAAATGTGTTTTTCCATTTCATACAAAAACAGTCCTACACAGTTTTCATCATTATTTCTACAATGGTAATTTTGTTATTTGCTCATAAACCAGGTGTTAATGTCTTCATGTCCTTTGTTGAACCACACATTTGGCATTTGTGGGGCCTTTTGGATGCCTGTTAAAGCCACTGTGTGTGGTATGCTCCCAGTGTGCAGGGGAGGGCAGGGGGGCTTCATCTCAGCCTGTCCCAGTGGAGGAGCCCTTTCCCTGGGCTGACATTTGGACTGGGCACCTGGAGGCATTCTAGGGGTTAGAGATTGTTAATGGGATCAGTGTTAATAGTCTCCAAATGACTTCCTCTAAAATCTGAACTCATAATAGAAATATTTCTTATATCTTTGCATTTAGATTTTGTACGAGCGATTGACAGAAGCTATGTTTAAAGGTCTGATATTAGACAAAATTGACTCTTCTGACCTTTAAGACATGTTATAATTCTGTTACCTCCTCAAAAACATACTTGGAGTTGTGGTTTGTTTCATTCACATGTTTGAGTAATCCTGCATTATCAGGCTGTCTACATCTCCAAACCTCAAAATTCTCTGTTCTACCTACTAGTGATCTCAGTTTTAAAGTTAACAGCTATCTTTTTCCTTTTGTTCTGTGGAGACTGACAGTTTCTGGGCTGAAAGTATTGAATGTATGGAGTTTAAAACACAGCTGAGCACTTGCTGTATTACCACATGACATCATAAGGTGGAACAGAATGTTTTCTGTTTGAGAGAAGAACCCACCCTAAATATACAGGATTTGTGTGTTAAACATGTGTGAATGAAACAAAACACAACTCCAGACATGTTTTGATGAGGAAACATCATTATAGCATAGATCAGAAAATGGTGTAATATGGGCCCTTTAATACATGATTTATCACAGTTTGTCCAAAGATACATCACTGTTTGAAATATTTATGATGTGGTGGACTTTTGTCTCTCATACCTAAAATGGTGTTAAAATATGTGAACGTTTTACATACTGTATTTTTCTCTTGCAGTGGAGACTCACAGCCTCCAGTCACTCCATACCATCCTGTCCACGGGTTCTCCTCTCAAGCCTCAGAGTTACGACTATGTGTTTGAATGCATAAAACGCAACGTTTTGCTGGGTTCAATCTCAGGTATTTCAATAATATTCAATTTTTTCGCTATCTGTAATGAAAGTAGTGTTGTCGCAATAAAATGTTAAACTCGATAGTACTTTCTTTTTTATTAGTTCTTTTTCCAGTATCAGTATATCATTATATATCCATTTTCAGTACTAGTTTTAGTATTTATTAGTGTCTTGATACTTTTGATACAACTCTTCAGTGATTGCTGGTTTCAACACTGCTGTTACATGGTGACTAATGACAGTTAATTTCAGCAACATTTCAAAAGACTGACTCATACAGAATACAAATAAAAAGTGTATAGAAAAATACATGACCACCTACAGACACATACTGTCCCTTTGAGGGTTTTGTTGTGTTGACAGGCCAATAGAAATCTATTTGTCCCTCTCTGAGAGTACTGAAGCGTTTAGCATTTAGCCGCTGTAGTGACTGATGGGTAATAGACAGATGCACATAAACAGTGGGCTCAGACAGAACACACAGAGCCCTCTGTGAATGACAGGCTTCATGTCACAAGTATAAAAGAGCACATGCAGAGACACACATGTCCAGCACAGAAATGTCATCAGCAGTCACATGTACACTATAAAGAGAAGGAAAGGCCACAGACTTTTACAAACCGGCCTGTTGGACATGTGGAATATTCACCAGCTGTGCAGAAAATCTGGATTTTCAGTTGATTTCATTATTTTACATTGTAGGTCTAACAATCTGTGTGCTCCTGTACAGCATGTGTATTGTAGTCATGATAATAGTAATGGCTCATATGTAGTGTACAGAACATTTAGAGACACAGTTTGACTTCCCAGCAGCTGTGCGCCCCACACAGGTGAACTCTGGCCCTCCGACTGTGTGAGCGGACGAGGACATCTGCTTCGCCTATGGTCAGTGTTCTTTGTGGAGCTCAGATACACTAGAGACCAAGCTTGTGCTTACTGATCTGTGTCCTCTAATATGACCCAAGGCAGTAGTAGTGTAATTTGTAGCTCTGTTGAGTCATAAAAGGGTTTTTAAGTAATTGAGCATGATATTATAATGATTAGATTTAAAAAGAAATGATACAGATAAATCTTACATGCCTGTGTTGGGTCTCTGAGAACAGCAGATCCTGTGCCAGTCATTCTCCATCTTGTTGCCAAGGGCAACAGTGGGCAGGTCCCAGTGGGCTGCTGGCTGGCCTGACCTTGACCCCCGAGGTTATCTCACTGTGTAGCATATGTGAGGGACTGCTGGCCCAGTGACATATGTGAGGATGTGCTCTTGTCCAAATGTGCTGTTACAGTGTTTGGGAAAGCACAGATGCACCTCCTTTACAGCTAAAGTGGCTCTCTATGTTTATCTCATTGTTTTGTTATCTTTGTATTGTTCAGATGCACTTGTGTGTTAGTTTGTGCATGTAATGGTGTCAGAATGAAGACTGGCCCCCACTGCTACTCTTTTGGGAATTTAACACTTTCCCTGCTGGATCTCAGCCACCCTAATATACCTCCATCTGACTACCCATATGCCCTAACTGTCTCTGTACATGTAACAAAATAAGAAATGAGAAAAATAAAAACAGACTTCTGTAATATTTCAATATTAACAATATTATATCCTCCATTTAACCATAAATCTCTTTTCCAAGACTGTCCTGGCACAGATGGCTTTTTGGCACACTTTTTGCAGTGTTCCTTTTTAGAACAGTTTTTTATAAAACATCTTCACCTCAGTTTTGTATTTCATCAATGGCAGCATACACTATGATTATCATAGTCTTCAGTCTGTTCTATATTCTGGGCCCATGCAGACAGCAGCCATTGAAGTAAAAGTGTCATTTCTGCTTGTTATGGTCAAAGACAAACAGATCTTTCAGGAGAGCCATTTAGACAAAACACACTGACGACGACGTTGAAGGACGTGGAGAGGGAGCTCAAATGGCACTCCAGATCTGCCTGTGTGTGAGAGTTTGTGCCCAGGCATTAGAGTGTGATAATAGTATAATTACTTGTCTTCGCCGTATAACTTTGTGTGTTTAATCACAAGACAAACTTCCTCTTTCTCCTGGGAGCCAATTAAAGCTCAACAAAGAACCTGGCAGAAAGAGACTTAAAAAGAAAGTGTAGGGAAGGACGCAGCTGTGGCAAGGGAAGAAAGGAAGATGGATGGATGAAGTCTGATAAAAGAAGGAGAAAACATAGAGGTAAAAAGGCAACAATGGGAACATGTCAGAAATAGTGCCTTATTGAAAGGTGCAAAAACAAAAGGAAGCTCCTGCATAAGAAAAGAAGGATTGTTCAGTTTATGAAAAGAGTTGCAGCTGAAGTCTATATAGGCCAGAGGAGGTGGAGCTGCTAGGGTGAGCACACTTTTGACATACTTTTGAGGAATTTAACAAGTTCTAAAAATAATATTGCAGAATTAAGTATGCACAACAACATTTTTAAATTTCATTTATTTAGGATTCATTCAAATGCAGAAAAGGTTTTTAGAAGGGCCAAATTAATAGGCCAGTTAACATGGATCTTAAAACTACTACTTCTTAAGATGTTAAAATGGCTTAAAATAAACTGAATTTTCTCCTCGCCATGAAACAATATATGATTGTCGACAAAAGTTAGTTTGGTTTTGCAGCTCATCCAAGTTGCTTCTTCAGTTCTGGCAGCTTGGATGAGCTACGAAATGTCTTCAACCAAATTAACTTTTGTCCAGTCAACAAACTGAATTTTCTCCTCGCCATGGATTCTACCTGGACGACTGAGGGATTCTTCACACATACATTGTTTCACATTCACAATTTTTCACAAATCGTGGGTATCCACAAAAAAGCTTGAAGCTTAACTAATAATCAGGTTTGTAGAGATGCAAGCACACTGAGAGTAAGGGCACGTGTTTTCCTGTGTCTTTCAGTGCAATAAACACAACATTTTTTTTCACAGTACATGGACAATCCTGATTAATATGAAACTTGTGTTTTTCCCTCTGTGTCTACAGGTGGTACTGATATAGTGTCCTGCTTCATGGGGCAGAACCCAACAGTTCCTGTATACCGCGGAGAGATCCAAACCAGGAACCTGGGCATGGCTGTGGAGGCCTGGGGCTTTGATGGTGAGATATGTCAACCCAGGATCACTTGAGTCTGAGGATGTCACACTAAACACATTTCATTTATGAGGTGTAATTTACTCTTTGCATAGCAGACTACAAAGTCAATTTTTGTGCTATAAACATTAGCTCCATTGATATTACCAGTATAATGTAGTTCTACAGAAAGACACAAAGCAATATTTTGGCTTGTTTTCTGCAATTGGACTGATTAAGACAAATTAAAACACGAATGACCATTTTATACCCCTCTTTTGGCCTATGTAGATCAGATCTGAACCATAGACTGCATGTTTGAAAGATGGGAGTTAGACCGTGACAATTTATTCAAAGATGACTTCTCTGCTTTTTCTGTCAGTAATAGACTTGGGATATCACTTTTCCTCTCTATAACTAACAGCACTTATTCTTCATTAACTAACTACACAAAAGAGCCATTTTTCTTCTTCCTGGGAGCCTTCAAAGTGCTGTATGTTTTTCTCATTGATTGTAGTCCCATATTCCCCCGCTCCGATCCCCGCTGCAGGCCACATTGGCATATCTCCACCACCTCAAAGCAAATCTATTGAGCAATAATTTAAAAACAGTTTTGTAGAAAGAGGTTTGGATTATTTTAGTCCCTGTCTAAGCCTTTAATGCTATCCTGGGGGACATGGGGAGTGCTGTGTGAAACCATCGTATTAGCTTCAGTGCTTTTTTAGCCTATGATTTGAACATCTATACATCTCTGTTGGAGTTTGTGAGTCTGTATTGATTACTTTGCCCAGTATATATCTATGTTGTATATCTAATGTTGTGTAAAACTGCATGTTCAGGTAAGCCTGTATGGGGAGAGAGCGGTGAACTAGTCTGTCTGAAGCCTATCCCTTGTCAACCAACTCACTTTTGGAATGATGAGAACTGGAGCAAATATCACAAGGCATACTTTTCAACTTTTCCAGGTAAGCACAAACTATACATGCTACTTCAATTAAGGGCCCATATTATGCTATTTTTTGATCTATGTTCTAATGTTTAATCGTCAAACATACCTCGATTTGTGCTTTTTTCCATTCACACATTTGATGCACGAACCCTGCATATTTAGAGTTGTTCTCTCAAACAGAAAACACTCTGTTCCTTCTTGTGATGCCATGTGGTAATATAGGAAGTGCTCCACTGTGTTTTTGAAGTCCATACACCTTCACTAGAATCATCTGGATGATTTTAACCCTGGAATTGCCAATCTCAACTGAACAAAAGGTCAAAAGTGGCTGTTAACTTTAAAACTACCACTTCATGACATCACAAGCTGGAACAGAGCATTTTGAACTTTGGAGATGAGACACACTAATACACTATTGCACACACTAATGCAGGGTTACTTGTGAAATATATTCGGTAATTGATTGTATGGCAATTCCCACAGGGATATGGGCCCATGGTGACTACCTTAAAATAAACCCAAAGACAGGAGGCATTGTCATGTTAGGAAGAAGGTTAGTTGTAAAAAATCATGGTTTTTGGTGATTCATTCAACACCTTTCTTACAATATAAATGTTTGTATCTCTTTTCAGCGATGGGACACTGAACCCCAATGGAGTCCGTTTTGGAAGCTCAGAGATCTACAATATTGGTAAAATGTTCTTATTATTCCTGTATCCTCCAAAAAATATTTTAGATGTGTTTTGCTTTGCCTTGTGTATACTACGAACAAAAGTCCCTTTATGTAAGTAAAGTCTTATATGGTCAAACTTACAAACCAATATGCTTTCTGCCCATCTTACCATTTTAACGTAATGAACAAATGCGTATCTATGAATAGTTATGTTAGTGGTAATATATCTAACATGCATCGTCATTGTTCTGCCACACCTCTTTTTGTGTCCAGTGGAAGCTTTTGAGGAAGTATCGGACAGCCTGTGCGTGCCTCAGTACAACGCAGACGGAGAGGAGAGAGTGATTCTGTTCTTAAAGATGGCACCAGGGAGACCCTTCAGTGCAGAGCTGGTGTCAAAGATTAGAGGAGCTATTAGGAAAGCTCTGTCTGCCCGCCACGTCCCCGCCCTGCTGCTGGAGACCAAAGACATTCCTGTAAGTAAAGAGAACAAGAAAAAGCCTAGATACAGTGAGATAGGTCAGCTTGTCACAATAGCAGTGTATATGTGTATGGGAGTATATTACAGATCTGGCCTATGGTAAGACAGTATAGGCAAATGCTACAGGCTAATAATAATGCCTCATGTGCAATGGGCAGCACACAAAGACATACATGCACCTGAATGTTCCTGGTCATTATAACAGCATACAGCTCAAAATGAAAGATGCTGGAAACAGTTTGAATTCCAAAATTATTTGGTACATAGATCTGTCACAATAACACATTTTGATGCATGATATATATAAAATAAAGCAAGATAATCCCAGCAAACCCTTTTTAAGTAGACAGTATCAATACAACAATACAACAAATAAATAGGATGATGCACCTATAATTAGCCCCAAGACTGACTTATTCAATCCTTTATAGCTGAAATCTTATCGTATTACCACTAAAGTAACAAAAATTTCCCCAAAGAAAAAAAGGATGCGATTAGATGACTTTCCCCGAGGCCTGGACACTGGAAGTGGTAGAAGTGAGGTCGAGGAGAGAGAAGGGAATGATGAGAGGATGAGGGGGCGCTAGGGAGGAGGTGGAGCGTAGCACAAACTAAAGCGGCCGTGCACCTGCGATGGGGGTTTAAATTGGGCAGACTGGACGCTGCTTCAACATGGGGAGTTGCAGTGAGCAGCGAGGAGTAATGAGCGGGTGAGGAGTAGAAGTGGTGTGGTAGCAAAGTAGTTGAGCAAAGTCCAGGCTGAATTTACGCAAACTCCATATTACAGGCATATATAGGCATGTAGATACTGATTAGCATTATCAGGACAATTGAAATAAATGTTGAGAAAAACATTTTTTTCACTATCATCCACCATTATGTAATATAAGTTGTTTTTGTAGTGATGAATGGTACTTCAAAATGTGTCTGTATAACTGATTTTCTGTTGTGTGTTCTGCAGTACACCATCAGCGGGAAGAAGGTGGAAGTGGCAGTAAAACAGGTGATAGCTGGACGAGAGGTGTCCCAAAGAGGAGCGTTCTCCAACCCAGATTCACTGGACCTTTACAAGAACATTCCTGAGCTGCAGAACTTCTAAAGCTTTTTAGATTAGGGAAATATTTCAATGAATTATGGATGTGTCAGTTAAAAAATATTGGCTGGCTCCAGTGCGTTTGAATCGGGCCATGCATATCAAGAGTCTTAAATCTCATATTAATTTTGGCCTCAAAATAACACTTAAAAGTAATTTAATACTGCATCATACTTAAAATGTAAGTCTGTTGAATATATTGTCCCATAAAAATTAAAAGAATAATTTCGTCATATATGATATCATATATATAGAAAAATGTATATATATGTTGATGCAAGACCAAAAGTCTAATATGTAAATAGGGGAAATTGCTGTGACTTCTGACAAAGTAACCCTTCTCTTGTACAGGTCAATTAACTTAAATAATAAGGTAATTTATTACAACTTAAAGACAATGGTCGTGCGTACATGCACACTCAAAATCTCATTATTATCAGAAGTTTGATAAAATTATTAAAATGACATAAGCGGTGAAATCTGCTGTGAGTAATCTGATTTCTCTCTGATCATGGTTCTGCAGATTGCTCACATCAGATTTTGCAGTTTGCATGTAATTTAAATAATCTGTAAGGTCCATAAATCAGATAATAATCAAATTTGAGTGTGCATATAGCCAACGATAAACACTATTGTAACTGAAATACGACTGTTGCTGCTTCAGTTCTTTTTGTGACTGAGTAAACTGAAGGGCAGTGGCACTTGTTCTCTGCTTTGAAACTGTGGATAATAGAGAGGATTTTCCCATCATGCTTTGCTTTGGCCTCTCTATGCAGGTCTCTGTGTCACTGGTACTGTAGCTCCCAGACTTGAAAACCAAGAACTGTGCAAACAGGTGTAATGATTATCTTTGTCTCATATTGCCATATCATTTTCTATGTGATGTGTGCTGCTTTTTCAACGTTCGTGTACTGGTAAATATACTGTATATTTTTAACTGTGTATGGCATTGATATTATATATGCAAGTGCAGATAGTGGCCTGTATGTGAACGCTAAATGCACAGATGCTTTGTGACGTTGGAACTTCCAGTTTGGTTAAATTAACCACAGAAACACTTACTGAAAATTGTATCTTAAACTGAAAAGTTATGTACTAACATTTATTTTTGTAAGGCAAGCTTCACTAACCTTTTCATGAGGTTTTTGTAAACTATTAAATTACTTGTTATAGCAAACTAATAAGAAGTAAAAGGCTTACAATAATAAAATCGTTTTTCCATAGATTCTTTTAAAAATGCTATAAAACAAAACATTCCCTTCTAAACTGACAAAGATGTGTGCTACAGGTTGGAAAGGGATCATAATAATGAACTTGCACTTTAATGTGTTACATGGTACAGTGTTTTCATGTGGCTACTAGATCTAAGTTGCATATTTTACTAATAAATAATTTTATAATTGAAATTATTTGTCTCAAGAGATTGATGTTGTAAGTATAGTCAAAACTCCTACTGACTAATGTCCATGAACAAATATTTTCTATTCTATTGCCATTTAGAAAAATAAGATGAAGCTACTAATTTTCTTTTTGTATAATTGTTCACTGCAATACAAACAGTGGCCTAAGTAGTGGATTGCTTGTAATTCTTGTTTAAATCCACCCGACTTTAGTTTCACTGATATAAATGTATGATCTGAACTAAAAAAGGGTTTACATTCTAACTCTTCATTTGTACTTAGCTTTAGTAAGTTCTGCTAACTGAACTCCAAGCTGTTAGCTGTAGAAAATGTTCCAGTGTTGAAGTAGCGCATATGTGTCCAAGAGCCAATCATTGTGACTGACATCTAATTCTAAAATAAACCTGCAACCTTTGGACGTGCAAACGCTGTGCGCAGTCCGTCTGCCAAATTTCAAAACAACAACTTAAAAATAGAGATCTGGTTTGCTTCCAGTTTGTCAAAACACAGACTGTGAATATCATGGAAGAGCAGGAAAGCTGAAATATCATTTTTATACCCAAATAACAAGTGCTTGATAAACGCCAATGCAAAACAGTGAGGTCCCTAGAGAAAGGGAACTAGAGCTAACCCACTAGGCATAAAACGGAGCACATTAGCGGTGACTAAATGACTTTGTTTACTGTGATGTGCTCTGTGTTTGTGTGTTTAGTGGTAATTTGTTGTCTGTGTGATCAATTTAAAATGTAAATTCATCTTCACTCACTAATGATACACTCTCTATTCTCTTGTGTGTAGAGGCTGAACATGTGCTGATTGTAGTTAGGCAAAACAATCACATTCAGTAAGATCTGAGCAGGATGTAAGACATACTAACTCCTGCCTCATGTGTCAGTAAAGGGTGATTAGTTAACTATTAACAATAAAAGTGTATGACAGATCTTAACATACTGAAAAACAATAAGCCAAGAATTGAATTGGCGACACCTTTAGAGGCAATTTTGAGATGTGAGCAACATGTTGAAAAGACTACGAAACAGAACGTTATAACAAGTTTCACTACTGTCAAAAATGTAAACAGGAAGTGCGAGTTATTTTTTTCCTTTCAGTCAATCAACACGACTTCTCCATCTCTATTGTAGCAGTAGAACTATCTGCCTCCTCAGACTCCCTAGCTCTACTTCTTCTTCTTCTTCTTCACCAATAGTTTCAGAGTTGGAGGAGAAAAGTCTCTTAACAATTATGATTTATTTGCAAGGACCACACTCACCAAATAGGGTACTGATACTAACTGTAGGCTCTGCTCTGTTTGAGGCTTTTGAGACTTTAATCTGTGTCATATTTGAACACAATTTGACCATAATGAACTGACTTACTTTTTTTTGACCATAATGAACTGACTTGATTTGTGCTGCTAAACAAGTCTGTCACACGTAAAATTACAGTCACAAGTTTTTTCGGTGGACCATGAATGCTCATATTGATCACAGGTGCCTGAAAATGTGTTTTTTAAATCTATTTTGGGTTTTTCCTTGAATTTTCAGACCATTTTATGATGTTTTGACAGTTGCTAAAGCATTGTGTCATCATGGTAACTCCTAAACTGTCCAGCATTAGAGATACATGTAGAAACCCCCCTCAGAGTGACGTCATTGTCAGTTATCGATACTATTAGATAATCTTCATTATATAAGATCCAACAATGGCCCCAAGCTAAGGCCAAGTGAGGGGTATCCAGATGCAGGAATGCTGAGGATGATGATGAGATGAAGATTAGTAGATGACTCATGGCTGGGTGAGGTGAGATGGTGGAACTGAGTGAACCTTGACCAAATATGGGTGACAGGAAAATGGGAGGTGTTGTTGAAGTGTTGTTGTGCTTTGAGGAGCAGTTAGAATGAGTTTTAGTTTTAGTTGTTTTAATTGTTGACTTCTTCCAAAACCTATGTCAAGTTAATAAAAACCTTTATACATTCATTTAATGCATTTTACTCATTTGTTTGTTTTATATATATTTAAATAATGTAAACGCCAAGATATAAAAGTGGAACCAAAGAAGCCAAAGAGACCCCATACAACAGGTGTTCATAGTAGGTGTCAGCTCCCTGTTATACTACTATGCAACATTTTGAGGACTTTTCACATTCATAAGATGCCATGTTTAGTTTTAAATTGTTGCAGTGGGAACAGTCCTAATTTTTCTGAAATCCATATATTTGTGGAGAAATTGAGATTGAGAAAATATGGTTTAAAAAGAGTGTTTTATATGTTACAATGATTTAATTACTTTGCATCATTTTAGTTTGGTCTTTCTGTTTTATCAGTTTCTTTGCTGTAGCCCCCCTTTCCTCCTCACTCAGTCAACAGTATGAGATAACACAACTTAATATGCCTTTCGTGCAATTTAATTTGAGTTTGTTTGGTGTTGTCGTGGTGATGAGTGCGACAGGAGAAGCGGCTAAATGGAAAAGGATCTCTGTGGAGATTTGTGTTTGTATAACCGCCCAAATTGTGTTGAGCAGATGTGCAAATTGGTATCACACATTTCCGATCCACTGGAGAGTAAACAGTTTGTGTCCTCTGGAATGACAATTGTGACTTTATGAAACTGTCACAGCATCTAATTGTAAGTTAGCCACATAGTTTTGTGTGAATATATTTACTCAAAGGTCTGTATTGTTTCTGAGTAGTTTAAAGGTGCAGCACTGTAGTTCATAATATAGTACAGAAACATTCGCTTGATAACCTAAAGTTGCAGATTAGCATTCATTACATTAATTAATTAACCACTGGATTTATGTAGCACCTTTCAAGATACCCAAAGCATTTAGCCTTGCTGTATTCGTCCACTCTACTCTCAATGGTGGTAAACTACTATTGTATCCACAGCTGCCAATCTGCACCATCAGCCCCTCCGACCACAACCGACACTTACACACACGCCGCATTTATATTAAACAATGTGTGTCTTTCCTAAGGACACAACAGGTATTATTATCTGGCTACCAACGGCATTACAATAATAACTAGCACAAGGCAAACAAATGAATAGGCTACAGAGTAACAGACATTGTGATTGCAATAAACTGTAGCTACCTGTGTAAGGTGGGAATCGAAGTTTGTACAGCTGATTAAAACAGTGGAGGGTACATACATGTGACAACCTAAAGGGTAATTGATTCTTGTGAGATCCTGAGCAAAAGGACAATAAGGCGCAGTTCAAATGGCACACCTGGGCACACAGAGAATACCAATCTCAAAGTGCTGGGGCTGTGTGCTACAAGAGCCAAGCCTTCGCATTTCTCATGTTTGCTCTGCCTCTTCTAAGATTAATGGAAAAATGAACTTCCTGACTTTTGTAACTCAAGAATGGAAGTCACTCAGCTTTAGATAGAATGCACAACAGCTAAGAATTCAAAAACACACACGCATACACACAAATCGTCACGCCACAAAAGCCTATATATACCTATGAATGGTTTACCCACGAAGTTTAGTGTAAATTTCTGTTGAATTCATCAAATGTGTTTCTAGCCAGAAATCCCAGTGGGCAGGCTCTGTAATTGTTCAAATAAACAGCAGACCTATGGTATACCAGTTAGTTTGAGGTCCTATATTATATAAAGTTTACTCTTCTGCTTTAAGAAATGTTAGAATGTTGTTACCTCCTCAAAAAAGCTACCCAGAGTTGTGTTTAGTTTCATTCACACATGTTTGAGTCTCTTTATTATGAACTGTAGTTTTCATATTAACAGAAATCATTGCTGAAATCATCCAACTGATTCTCCATACACCTCTATACACCTTCTAGGTGTATGGAGTTTAAAATACAGTGGAGATCTATATGTATTACCAGATACCATCACAAGGTGGAAAAGAGTGTTTTCAGTTTGAGAGAAGAACTCAGCCAAAATATGTAGGATTCATGTGTTAAACATGTGTGAATGAAAGATAAACAACTCCACGTATGTTTTTGATGATGATACAACATTATAATATAGATCAGAAAATAATGTAATATGGGCCCTTTAATTAATTTAGGTATACTTCTAGTCAGACTGAACAATTATCAAAATGTGAAGACCTAATGAACCTAAATGGCCTAGAAGTATGTACTTTGAAGTCTATCACACCAGCAGTATATGGCACAGAGCAGTTGAACAGCATTGTACAAAACCTCACAAGCAATAGGCCTAACTTCTCTTGAAAGGTGTAGGAGATTAGTGTCTTGATAGAAATTTTACCATTTTGTTTGAGAGCATTTTTGACAAAGTAATAAAAACTTGAAGACCACCAAAGAGTCAGTGGTGAAGAGATAGAATTTTACAGTGCAAAATTCAAACTCAAGTTGAATCATTCAGTTGATTTTTGACACACTTCTTGTAGCCCAACTCCAGTAGAGTTTTCAGGCTTTTCAGACCTTGATAATTTCCGTCTTCTATTTCACCTGAAGTTTTAAATACCTGTTGGGACTGTCAAGCACCAACAGTAATATAAGTTTTTCTTTTACTTTTCTTAAAACAAAACCGACTGATGAACTCACTTCTCCTTTTATCACGCTCTCTCAAAAGCAAGAGATTTGAGATGGCTGGGAAGGGAAATCTGAAGGATGTTGAAATTGCAGAGAAAAGGGCATATTTCTTAAATAGGTAAAGCAAAAGGGTGTATAGCAGACATGGAAAAAACTGCTATATAGCCCATATTAGATTGAATGACGACGTGTTATGATCGTTTGAATTCGCTTCAATTTTATCTGCCAATCTCGTGCTCTTTTTGTTGACTGTTCAGATGTAGGTGGCAGCCCGCTTTGTGAAGACGTGTGTCACTCAGTTCCCTGTCACATGCTGAGTTCTTTTTGTGAGTGGAAGTACTTCTTAGATAAATACATCATTCAGTTCATTTGCAGTTCATTTATTTGTCCTTAAAGCTGGTTGGTGTTCAGTGAGGACTATGCCTTTGGTGTCTGTCAAGGTTAAAAGAGAGACATAACAATTGAACTCCTAAGT